ACAATTACATTAATTTATTTTAAAAAATTATATATATTTATATTATAAATTAATATTATCATTTTTAGTATGTTTGCAAAGCGTTTTAAAAAATTGGGTTTCTTTCATCTTAAAGTAGACACCAAAGCGAGCTATAAATCAAAGCAAACAAACGAGATGTAAATTGTTTTATGCAAAAATACGTTTTTACCTATGCTCTTTTTAATGTAGAATAGAAAACTTCAAAACCATCAAGAGAACAATTTGCGCCATCGTTCTCGATTCGAGTTTTTGCGAATATTGCAACTGGGTACTTTACTGTTTTAAATCACAAATGTATGGTAAATGCGAGCGAAAAAGAATCTTTTCAAAGGACTTTAAAAGTAATGCGCCACATCGCAAATGCGCCTTTTTACGTTTTGTGTTGTGTGTGTAGAAAGTAAAAGAAGAAGAAGAAGAAGAAGAAGAAGAGAAAGAGAAAAAAGCTGGACAGCAATAAAACCCAATATAAGCATAGAGCGTATTATAAGAAAACTGATATTATCATCACATATATTTAAATTACGATTGTAAAATATTTGTAAGAAAATTTAAAGGAAATTATAATAAATCTAAAATATTAATGCACTTTAAAAATTTTGTTGATATCTTAACAAAAAGTAAGAAAAACAGATTTATTATAACTTACAGAATCTACGAGTAAATATTCCAGAAATTTTATTTTATTTTATCCTATTTTATATTTTATTTAACTTAAAAGCACGGTTATTCCACGGTATACCGTGCGATAATAATGATAACAAATTCGGTTGAAGATGGATTCTAGCGCGTACAATGAATTCGCTCTACACGTTTCATACGTAGCTATCTAAAAAGATGACCGTGTTGCATTACTCGTAGTATGTCATGTTAACATTAACACGCGTGGAAAGCAAAAGGTTTTGTGATCTATCAAAACAACTGGCCTATGTGTGTGTGTGTGTGTGTGTGTGTGAGTGTGTGTGTATGTTACATATAATTGACCTAATTATTGAAAATAAATATCTATTTTTCCAATTAAATCAATATTCGCAATTACATTCCACAGTCGATGTGCACTTATCGCCTCGCATTTAATTAAGAGACTGCGGGTAATTAGATTTAATATTTAACGCGCAGCGTGCTCATGATTTTTAAGTGCAGAGTTAAGCATTAATTTCACAATAAGCACATATCAAGTAAATTGTGGAAGTCTCTGATATAGTTTCGTAGTTATTTTCGACGTAGAATTATTTGGCATTAGCATGCAAAATCAGTGCAAGAAATCGAAACATGCTTTCACGTATACTATAGCGCATAGTATGAATGCAAACTGTGCTACAAAGGCATCATTGAGTGGCACTTGGATGTATCAGACTGATAAGGTCAACGAGTGCTTGGATAACTTACCTCGGAAGACGTCAAGTAGCAAAGCCTCGAGTCGGTGCTCTCCAATGAAGCTTGTTGAACGATTCCGTATCTGCCATCCCGGTCGGACATGTAATCGGATCTGACGCTATCCTGTCTGTCGAAAGTACCTCTGGAATATGCAACACATTTAATTAAATGTCACGACATAGCCCACAAACGTATGAAGTAGATATGTATCTTTCAATTGCAATCTCTTTTACGATCGCTCCTTTAATTAGAAGCCATTACAAAATTAATTTCTAATAAATTCCCCCTTTTGCAGTATTTTTTATGTTTTACATGGAATTCATTTTTAAATTATTTCAAAGGATATTTCTATTTATGTAATACTAAAGTTGATATAATACTAAAATATGTATAATAGTTGAGAGTTGGATCAAGATGAATTATTTACTAGGAAAAGAGAGAATATTTTGTGACAATCAAAAATTATAAAGCTGTTAATTAAAAACTATCATTAATATTTGAAATATAATATAAACAAATTACTTTTTTATAGCAATATACACATACTGCTACAAAAAGCCAACAGTTGGTAATGGAAAGATCTATATCTCGTAATTTTAAGAGACTAAAACTATTTTCAGGACCGCGATATAATACAGATAGTCGAGAAGTGCGATAAAAGTAAGAGAGAGTACAATGGAAATATGGAAGACAATGCCAACAATATAGGGCGACAAAAGGTGGGTGGTGAACTGGAAATCAAAAAGGGACACTAAAGTATAAGTACGCATTGTGCCGAAAAAGTTCATACTTCTTTTTTATTTTTAGTTTGGAATATTTATATTTTTACTGCGCATATCTGTCTTAAATTGTATTAGAATACTTTTATATCTTATTTTTAAATAGAAATTTATATTACACTATAAAATATGATATGGAAAACGATTTTTTATTAAAGAATGGATATATTCAGTTTTAAGATAATTTTTAACGATTTCTTCCGTAATAAAATTGGCCTTAATATCTTTCTCGCTGATTATACACGTACAAAATTATACATATATAATTAAAAAGATTTACGGTGACAAATATGGATAATAAAAATTGCATAAATATATTTATCTTAGTATTTACATTTAAAAAATTTGCAAATACTCTCTCTTACTATATACCTTTTTGCTTATTTATAATACGAAAACTTTCTATATATTTTATCTTTTTTTTTTAATCGTTTACATTTAGAAACTTATTTTTGCTTTAATACATAAACAAAAGTAAAAATTATCCCAAATTTATCAAAGAATCTATCATGTATTAAAGACAATTTATGTTGGAGTTTTTCAAACATCCTACACAAAAAGCAATAACGATTAAATAACTTGGTTCCGACGCGAGGAATCTACTTCTCTTACCTTTGTTCAAGAGAATCAGTCCGGTTGGATTTATAACCACTGTCGTTAAGGCTGCCCTCGTGTCTTAAGGAAGGGAGAGAATCCCAGGGCGACTCTCTCTTATATCCCGAATACCCTGGATTTATCGAACTCGAAGCGCCAGAGCCGAGAGTTGAGCTACCGGATTGCCATCCGTCAGAATGCCGAAACCATTGTGCACGCGCGGATTCCCCGATGCAGCTGGCGCATCTGCAAGCATCATGTTACAGATCAGTCTTATGTACAATACATTATTAATATTATTTATCAAAGTCATTTAATAAAATAATCATTCGCAATAAAGTAATTACTTTAATAAAAATAATTATTTATATGTATATCAATTTGTATAATTAATATAATGTTAATAAAGCAAGATATCTTTTTACAAGATTATATATATTTCTTATTAATAATAATGGTTAATAAAAATTATTAATAAAATAAATTTTGAGCTTAATAATATATTTAATTTATAATTCCGTGTCATACTGTCATAATTGCTTGTAATTATTAAAATTTATCAGACTAATATTTCATTTGTCGTACGATACACGTATTTCGATATTTTCGAAAAATCAATCAAGTTATCGAAAAAATATATTTCGGTTATATTTTTATTTTATAAGCAATATCCGAGTTAAAGAAGTTAAGCGTATCTTTGTGTAGATTGTACACGGATGTGCAATACCGTGCAGGTATAGGTGAGAAATCCGAACACGGTATGTCTGATGATATCTTTGCTTCATCATCTTCTCCGAGCGATTGGAATTTCACGTGTTTCTTATTCTGAGATTGATTTCCGGATCCGTCATCCAGAATACGATAGAAAATTTTTTCCGGCACCCTCGGCATCTTCGGCATCTTTTTTGGCTCTCGTCGCCTCTCGAGCGATCGGTATTTGCGCTGTAAACTGTAGCGATAACTCATTGTTGCGATTTTCAACGTTTCAAATCGTATATTAGATCAGTATTTGCACTGCGATTACAATGATGATCAGCTGAATAATCAGTTTGACATGCACTCGAGAACAGAGGGATGATTATCGCCGGTGCATGGAAATGATCGCTGTTTACGCTCGCACAGCAACGGTAAAATAATTATTTCCTCTCGTTACAATTTTCGCGCGACCGACAATCACGAGCGACGCGACTGAACAATTATTTACGTCGCACTCAAAGATATCAATGTTTGCATACGTCCGTGTCAAGCGAAATAATTATTAATTTACATTTTCGTGCGATTGATTAGCTGCGCTGATTATCCTTTGTTGTTTCAGAGATTGAAAATTATCTCCATCCAAGTCTTTAACAACGATGAGATGAATATCTTGTCATTGCTTTTTTCTTTTTTTGAACTCTTTTGCAAAATTATTTCTATCTATAATTAGTAACAACGAGACTAATATCTTCTTCAATTTGATTTCAAAATCATCTTTGTTTAAATATTCTCATTAACACTGAAATAGTTATTATGCATGAAAGAATATCCAAGCGCAATTTGATTTTTATAAATATTTCTACTCTCAGAGTTAATAATTTTTTCAATTTGCTTTCTTCTCTCACTTCACACTTTTATCTATCACCATGCAATACACACGTAACTGCATTTTGTCGCAGCGATTAATGGCATCGATGATTTATTAATGTTGCCTTTTTGTACATCACATGTGCGTTTACCAGAAATTCATGCGACACATAGTAACTGCACATAGCGCATCTTTATGTCGCAACGTAATCGCTCGGATAATTCATCATTTCACACTATCAGAATTATATTCAGACGATGGTATCACGCAGGAAATGCGCAATCCTTGTTCTTATCGCAAGACCATGTATCGGGTCTTTCAAGATGCGCTTTGCACTTTGATGCACCGGCAGGAGCACACACAAAATCTCGTCGCGCGTTTTGTCGTTTCTTTCTTATTTACGCGACTACGAAAAACACCCTTCTTCTCTTCGTTTTCTCCGTTCAGCTGAGAATCGAAGCCCACTCGCGAGATTTCTATATTTACTACGATGCGGCTTGCTGCTGTCAGTCGCCGCCTTCGCTGACCCGTAATGCACAACGCGCCGGCGGCCGGGGATGATGATGCATGCGCCGAGCGCTGTATCGAGAGGCGTACCTTCGAGAAGACTTCGATAAACGCCACGCGACGCGCGTCGCCTATCGATATAGTTTCACAGCGTACGGTGTAATATTTTTTTTTTTACTTTCTTTTTTTACACCGCCCGCGCGGAGGCTATCGATAGACGATAACTACATCCGGTGATATTATCCAGGTCGCCCTTAATGGAGAGCACGTCTCATCGACCGTCGTTGTTCCTGTGATCGGCGGTCATAGAGCACAGCTCTTTAAATGTCAAAGTCTCTCGACGATGACTTTCGCGCCTTTTTCGATACGGACCCTTCGACGACCGAAGGGTCAGTGGCTATTATCGCGTTAATTGATGTTGCACTACTTGGCAAGGAAGGAATTTCAATGGAGCAGATAGAAAGCGAATCAATTCCACAATGAATTCAGATCACATAAAAATTTCAAAATATTTAGGAAATATTATTAGAATAATTACGAAATACGTCTCTTAAATATCTTTTTCTTTCTTTTTTGTTCTTTGTTTTTTGAATCTTTTGAACCTCTGCTTTTTGTTTGATATAAAAATGATTTCAAGTATAGAATCGTATTTAATCCAATATCTTTCATTGATCATCTCATATTTGTTCCTAAAAATAATTTTGTTAAATAATTGAGTAAAAGAATAAGATTTTATAAATTTCATGCTACTTTACATGCTCAATTTAAGTTAGATGAGGCGGAGTTCAATTTGTGAGGAGGATGTTCAAGATTATGTGTAAAGAGAATTTTGAAGTTGAGAAAGCCTATATTCTCTTATCTGATTATAAAAATATGTTTGCATGAATGAAATGCGTGCGATTTATTTATTCTTTGCATCATTCATTTATACGTGTTGTTAAGATATGGAAATGCAATAAATTTAATTGATGCTTTAAATATTTTAGTGTTAATAAAGATTTAAATAATAATTTACCTAGAATTGTAGTCGCTAAGATAGCCGCGATCTCGATCAGAGTCTCGCTCTCTCTTCTCTCTCACCATCTCATTACGGTCGCTATAATAGCCGTCTCGATCCTTGCTGTTTTGTCTTTCATTGCAATAGCGATATGATAGCGGCAGAGTCGACGACTTATTAGAATTGGAACCTGTAATCATGATAATTTGATTATGAACAAAAAATAAAAAATTCCCCCAGTATATTTTTAATTTTCAATATAGATATATTTTAACTTACGTCTTCGTGAAACGTGAGGTGTACGCTGAACATTCAACGGTATGTTTTCCGCAAATTCTGGAAAATGTAAAAAATTCGCTTTTCAATAAAATCGCTATTTATAATTAATCTTTTATAAATTTTTTTTTATTACTTTAATAATTTTATCAGCTTAATATGTTGGAAAGGTTAAAGCTAAAGTTTAATTAATCCGTTCACTTGAAAAGAACAAGGGTGAGATAAAAATTATATGACAAAAAAAATATATTTCTTGATTATACTAAAATAGCGTATAATTTATTCACCCAAAATTTTTAATTCATTAAATGCAATAATACTAAAATATTCTTAAAATCTCATCAAATGTTATTCATTCCTTTATTGATTTCTTGCAAATAAAATAAAGCTCTTAAGTGAAACTCCGTATTAGCCGGCAATTGATAACTATTAAAAAGAATAATTTTTTATCTCTGAATAAAAAACTCGAAGACAATATAAATTTCCAATTGATACAAAATCTCTATACATTCTTTATATTATTCTTTATTAGATATATTAATAGTTTATAGACTTTATGTGTCTGTTAAAAGATTATTTGTTGCAATCAGAATCTGATTTTTTAGTATCAAAGCTTAAACGGAGTCTTACCCAAGTTTTCCATACTCTGCGTGAGCAGAGCCTCAAACGTACGCAGGCTGTAACTCTCCGCATCCATACCCTTGGCCAGAGTGTTCCTGAGATGCATCTCGTACTCGAGAAGCAGCCGGCTGGTTGGGCTGCCCGGAGTCGACACGGACTGCATATTCTGCTGCTGATATGTCTGGCCGCCGTTGCAACGACGGGAATTGCAATGATTCGGTTGCTCCATGTCGGAGTTGCCGTTCGACGAGCTCGGCGTGGTCGCGTAGCATTGGTTGTCGAAGATGACATTGTCCGAGGGCGGCGACATGTCACCTGTGCACCGATTACGTTCCGAATCTAAGTACGTCCTTCCTCTGCCGCCTGCGAGCAGAGAGGTGCAACCGAGAGTGCAAGATGGAATATGTCGTGCGGTGGTCCGCGCTGATCAACGGACAAAGTAGACGTATGTCAAGTTAGTCAGACTCGGCGAACGCGTAACTCGAGAAGTGGTCCATCCGCGAATGAGACTGCCGTCGAGCTGACAGGACGACCACGTTGTCGACCCTTAGTGCGCATGTTATGTAAGAAGGTTAAAAGCAAGACAAAATGTTAGGGGTGCCGCAAGTGGTGGTGGATGACCCTGTGACTTTTAGGGTGGAGCTGGCTGACTACCACGTTGTGGTTCACTCTGTGCGCATGTTAAATTATGCCGAGGATGTACTTAAAGGTTAGAGGTATACTGAGGATAAACGCCAGAGATCAGTTGCTGGTTAATTTTAGGAGACTTCTTACAGCGTTATGCGTTCGCCGGAATTATATGGGGACAGGCAAAGAGTGATATTATATATATAGGATCGATCACGTAATTTTCAATATAAACTTTGTCATTTTTTTTTAATTTTTTAAATTATGTTTAAATTTTTTATTATTTTTTGCGGTGAATAAAAATCTCATTATGACAATATCTATAGCGCAAAAAAGAAAATGCTTTTTAAAATTGCTTTTTTTATAAAAAAATTATGTAATCAATCTTCTAATCGCTTTTTAACGTTTTCATTGTTAAAATGATTTTGAAAGTTTTACATGTATGTTTTATTTTTAGTTTTAGAATTTTAAGAGAAATTTTTGTTTAAAGCGACTCAATATTCTATATCTATTAACAATAAATTATATAAACAATGATAACGTTACCCCATTCAGAATCAAACAGTCTACATATATATGTGTTAAAAGTTATAATCTCTACATCATTATAATCTACACAAATCATAATAATGTTTAAATATTAATCCTTAGATTAGCAAACTTGTTATAAATTCAAATAATTAAAAACCTTATAGAATAGACATTTATCAATTATAAACGTGCAAAAATTTAAAAAGGCAGGGAGATATTATGGAATAGTAAGAAATTGTTGCGCTTAAAAAGATTGAGAATAAAAATTAATTAGTACACAATAAACTAGCAATATCAGTGAGAAAAAATCGTACCAGTATATTGCCGGCTCATATCGTGAACGCTTCTGGATCCCTGAAATTTATTGTTATAGGGCGCGCGATAGGGATGCGCATAATTCTCGTTGTCAACCTCTTGCATCATGTACTTCTGATTATTATTGCTCGGATGGTAGTGATAGCTATGATGACTGTGACGTTTCCTCGTCATTTCCGGCGATGTCACCGGGCTGTCAATGCTCGGCATCGGCTTCAACATGCGCTTCAAGGTATTCGAATCCAGGCTTATGCCGCCATTCTGCGCATTCTCGATCCGCATGTCATCGGTGCTCTTGCTCTTCGACCTATGACCGTGATTGTTATTGACGATGTTGAAGAGATTACCGTTCTGCATCTCCAATTCGGTATAGTCGGCCGACTTGGTATGATGCAGCTGCTCTTTACGTAGCAACTTGCTCTGCAGGGTACCACCGGCCTGGGTGCCCTCTGATTTCAGCATTTCAATACCATTCTGCTGCGTGGACGTGTCCTGGCTCTGCTTCTGTAACTTCTTTGGCGATATCGTGGAACCTTTCTCATCAGGACTGTCAATCTGTTGGAATGAAAAATCAATGAATTAATAAATTCAAAGTAATAATTTTTTTAATTGTAATAGACATGCTCTAAATTAAAGTTTCTGCAAAATAATATGATTTAATCTGTTATAAGATTTTGCTAACATATGTACTATATGATATAAAATAATTTATATTATTACTAAAAACTAAATATAAAAGAAAAATCACAGAAAAATTGTTTTTTCCGAAAAATGAATATTTATTTAAAATGCTAGCTAAATGTGGAATAAAGAATAATATATTCTATCATTAAAAAATAATTAAAATTAAAAAATTGATGTGAGAAAATGTATTGTTATATTGCTGTAACCGTTGTGCTTGCCTGTGATCCCACCGTAACAGTTCCGATTCCAATGTTGGCAGTCTTCGGGGTTGTCTGACACGTCTCATTCTGTTTATCCTTTTGTTTGGCCGATTCGCCAGTCTTTGGTGTTTTCCCGGGTGTCGCGCTAGGATTGTTGACGTTGTCGTAGAGAGACGCGCTGGATGTGGCCGCTGTTATCTTGTCTCGTCCCGGCGTCATTTCCATTTCCGTGGATCGCGCCATGGTCCGTGGAAGCGTAGACGGTCCTGAAATAACGTAGATAGATTTAATAAAAACGCGAATCACGGATATAAGATTAGATTCATTAATTTGTGTTAAACAAAATTTATGCGAAATATTGTATATGTATCTTGTCTGTATAAAAAAATATATTTATCTAAAAATTAAACGTATTATCGTTTTTATATGCAAATTAAAAAACTAAAAAATTAAAATTTGAAGATTTAAGTTCTCACAATGGATCTTCTATTTTGTTTTTATCAAAATTAAACACATCATGAAAAAATTGAAAAATAAATTTGTATATATAAATTTGAGAAGTAATAAAGAGAAAAAGAAAGACATATTATAATTCTTTTAATTTGAACGGCATAGAATAAGAAAATAAAGAATATACATGTATATGGATATAAAGATATATATTTTATAAATCACGCATACCGCACGGACTTCGATATCTGGGATCTTGGCTACGTAGCCTGGCAAACTGCTCCGGTGTCATACAGGTGCATTGAGGTTCTCTGGATCGGCTCGGTGAGGCCGGTGTCGACAGTGGCTTTCGGCGTGTTTTGATCTTCTGCTTGTTCGGTGGCTCGAGCTTCAACGAGTAAGAAGAGGACGCTTTCCTTGAAATCTTGAACGACGGTGACTGTATGGAAAATTAACTAGTGACTGCAAATGACCTAAGAAGTCGAATTGGACTTGTATCGGACTTGTTGTGTGTCGCCCCTAAATCATCTCCGCTCAACTTCCTCACGCGCGACCCAATGGGAGAAAGGAAATAGGCGGAGACCTCGTGAGAGTGATAGCGAACAAGGTTGTGGCACGATGTACGTATAATGTAACGACATGCGTGTCGCGGGTGTAGTATCACTAAACTTACGCAGCATTCTCTGAATTGCTTTGCGTCTATGGGAGACGTAAAGTTCAGCCCCCATGTATCATTTGTCACTGTGTCCTTCCAGTAAACGAAGCACTCTGACGCTTGGCCGATGCGCGTACCTTAAACATAATTACACAATATATTAATTGTTAAAAAATTAAACTCTCATTAAACTCTCATTAAACTCTCCGTAATCGCACTATTTTTATCGTGGCATTTTATCCCAAAAGTAAAATTAATTTGCAAAAACTTATATTGTTTTATATATTTATGGAAACATTATTCTTTGTTCTCTCACAAAAAAATTAACTTTAATTTGAATATTTTCAATTATGGTTTACCTGGCTGGACCAACCGCACATCTAGAATCTTATCGACCTGGCTGTTATATGCGGTGATATGGAAGACGCACTCCGGCGAATCCTGGATGCAAGTAATATTTACTGGGACCAGATCTTCGGATACCTGCTGCCACTTGACGGTACCAGCTCCGCTCGAATTTACATGGAACACTTCGGCCCACAGCCTAAAAACTCTCGTCATTACATCATGTGTTGCAACAACATGATTTTTGAACATTGACACATCATTAAGGAAAGTTTCTAAGGAAAGAACGTGTGATAAAATAGAATAGTTGTGATACAAAATGAGAGAATAGAAAAGTAAAGATCTATCATTGAAAGTAATTATCGTTATCATTTCTTTCGTAATAGATATAATATCAATGTCACACTAAAAGTACATAAAAATATCACTACATCACGTCGATCATAATATCGCACTGTATCTTAAAAAGGATAAAACGGAAATAGTGCGTGGAAAATCGCAAATGTATGTACATTACGTGCACGCAGAATTCGCATTTACCGAGTAAATATCGCGGAAGCTCTTTCTGCATTAAAATTATGATGCGCAAGTATTTATCTTCGATTTCAAAGCTTTAAAACGGATAAAACTGGTATATATTCAAATTCATTGAGTTAGATTAATGTGGACGAAAAAATAATGACATTCTGTGCTAAAAATATTAATAATCATGCGAAGCATATGTGTATAGATGAAGTGTAAAATAGACGAGAGTATAGAGATCAAAGAAAAATATTTAAAACAAAATAAATATTTTATTTTACTTAATTTAAATAAAATGTAATTTATTATCGCAAATAACATAACAAAAAAAAATTATTACTTCTGTTATATTCAAGCATATAATATAACTCAATTTCTATTTAGCTAAATAAAGTATACATTAAAATTACATCAATATTGCTCAAAGTTAAGTAAGTGTATTGTATCCAAATAAGAAGAAACTATCGGCCGTTGATAAACGAATTACCAGTTTGATTAACTAGACAAAAGGTAGAAGAGAAAAACGAAACGAAACGGTCAGGGTTAAAGAAGTAAGCGTGAGCAAATAAGATGGCGAGAAAAAGAGACAGCGAGAGAGATAAAAGTGAAGAAAATGAATGAATAAGAGAAATGCAAGACAGTCTGAGAGACGGGAATAAAAAGCGACATTCCACCGATATATATACCGGCATATAACCGCAGCACAGAAGTATATAGTCTCTCACCATCAGACGCTACAAAATAATATATAAGTTCGGATCTGGATATACTGTGTTTTGTAATAAATATTTCAAAGCATTTGCTAAAATAAAATTACTAATAACATTACAATGAAATATATAACGGTTATACTTATATATGCGTACAAAAATTAAGATATATTAAAATCTAAGATAATTGTAATTTAAAATAAAATATAAATAATTCTATCCATTAATATTTTTCTTTTCTTATACATATAAAGAAAAGACTTCTCTCTAATAATTTCTTAAATTATCATTATTAGGTAAATTGCATTCATTTAGTTTTATTGTCTATTGTATAATTCATGCATAATTATCATGCAAAATTGATGCAGAGATTCTGATTCTCGTCGCCCAGCGCTGCTGTTATCCATGCCGCTCACGAAAAGTAGAAGCAAATAAAGAAAGAAAAAGAAAAAGAAAGAAAGAGAGAGAGAGAGAGAAAGAGAGAGTCAGCATAATGCATGTCAGTCAAGTGTGTACGAATGGTAATCATCGAAGAGAAAGAGTGGCAATATGGTCGAATGGAGAGTGATTGAATGGTTGAATGGTATGGTATGCGCACCTCTTCCTCTCTCTTAAGCTTCCGCACCTGAGCAAGTGGCCAGTGTCACCCCTGCGTCCTCCGCCGCCGCCCATTCCGCCCCTGGCACCGGCCTGCCATGGGCTGTCTTCGTAACGATACGTCTTTGATCTAATCAGGGGTGCGCAACTGCAGGAAAGCTTGTTGCCCATTCTAACTGCTCTTATTCTGGCTTTAATCTTGCCACCTGCCTCGCCCCGCCACCACTCTGCGTCACCACACCACCCTCTGTACTCGTGATGCTCGTTTGTGTTTCTGGCACGACACGCCTTAACACGATTCTGACCTCACGTATCCTTCTTTTCACCCCGTTTCTCAGGGTATCCGTGTCTGATCCTCCGTACTACGTTTATATATCTTTTTCTTTTTGTCTCGCTTTTTCTCTGTTTTTTTCTCTCTTTATCTCTCTCCGTTCCACCCTGCGTTCAATTCCTCTTTGACACACTTTCGCGGGGTTGGCTCTTATGGCTTGTCTGTGTCGACTTTTGGCACCGATTTCCAACGACGTCGACCACGGCCGACGGTTTGGCGTTGCTTTTTTGCGCGTAATCCTCGGATCGTGTGTGTTATTGGGAAGCACTGTGTGTAATAGGGAGGATCCCCAGTTAGCAGAGAGTAGGAGGAGGTAACTTTATTGTCACATCATTGCAGGCGTCGCGAAAGTCATCACCTTGTCTCTAACATGATCGCTGCGAACATATGTGAGTCGATTAGCTGTGAGAAACATATATTTCAAACAGGCGCATAATATACAAATCTCATTTACTTTGTGTAGAAAAAATTACTTTGTATATATAAATTATATTTTTCGTAAACATAGTTATCTGCAATATAAATTTAATTAAAAAAACGCATATTTTAATTAAAACAATACCATAAGAAATTATCGAATATACGAATTATTAAAGAATTTACATAAATGCATAATATTATGCAAAATATTTTATACAAAATATTTTACATATATATCTAATAAATATTTTATATACATATTTTATAACATAAAAAAATTTATAATAAAAATCAGTTTTTAAATTAACATAGAAATCACATGCGCTATGTATATAAGTATAAGAAATTAAGGAGGTTTACGACAAGGCTGACCATATAAACGTTGCGATCACTGCGAAGAAACAAACTCGCTAATCGAATAAACAAATTGTAGATTTATTCAACGAGTTTATCATATATTGATTAATTAAATTGAATTTTTTTGCAAACTAATTTATGTTATGAATATTATAATAGCTTCAGGAATACGAGGTTCAATTAATCTCTGATAAATTCAATGCTTTCGAGCGAACTTTTGGAAAAGGATATAAGCTATCGCTCTTTTGTTGCTTGTCGCAATTTTAATTTCACAATCAATTAAACAAATCTAGCAACGCTCTGGTTCAATGATCTTCTTTCGCACATTACGGCTTCATTCACATTTCTCGTGATGAACTTTTTCAAAACGTGCTATCGATTATCGTGAACATCGTCATTGCAAGTATTTCATCCTAACGTTTGGCCGAAGCCAACATCAGGGAGGAGGTCAATAGCGTGAGATATTGTGCAGATTTGTCGCGGATAATAAAAGGGGTAGCGCCACCGGAGGGTTACTGAACCGTTCCTGTCGGCCACGTAATACATCATTTCTCCCGGAGATGTTCTCGACAATACGGGGTATCCTAGGCTCTCATAACGTTCATCTCGCAACATCCATCACGAGAAGATAGGGGAGGTTCCGGGGGCTTTCTGGCTCGAAACATTCCTACGAGAAACACCAACACACAGCTGGCTTATATATTTTCAATCCTGTACTCGTTCTCCATAGTTGCACGTAAAATTGGCACACGAACAATTGTTCCAGTAGTTCTAAAGATATGTTCAACGCAAACATCCAGCACGTTGTAACATTAATCCCCTTGATAATTTTAGATTATTACAATAAGTGATGATACAAATACGTATAATAATTATTATGGTAGCTCCTTAATATAACTATACGTGCATCAGAAATACATTTTACTGTCAAATAAATTATTAATTACATAGAAATATTTTTAAAAAAAATTAATTAATTGGTCATCCACCTTTGCGATCAACTAAATCCGATAAACTCTATATCGTCGTTTCCGAGTTCGATCGCGGAGACCGAGCCAAAGGAGGAAAATTATTTTCAGACCGTCGGTTGCCGTTGTTATCTAAGCTTTTTTATATAATCGGGCCTTCGTCTGGACTAAAGCGCGGATTCACCGGCGGCGTATATATGCCGCTTAATTGGACGAGGGATTGCGCGAGAGTGGATAAATGTCAAACGGTGCGTGCACCCATGACTACCGGGGTCTCAAAGGATTAATTATGGGCGACGGAGACGGCGGAAAATCGCGGTTGTGTGTCTGCCGTCTGCGAAAATCCCAACAACGTTGTTGTTGCCGACATAATCGACACGCACGAGCAGACGATATATCGGGAAAACTGGAGTTTGTAAATCGCCAACGGTTTGCCCGACAGCCCGCGATAATTACGGTCGGCGTAGGCGTGGAGTCGAATGAAGACACGTAGGTAGGTAGGAAGCCTTAGTCGAGCCCGGGGGTCCGCTCGTCATCCGACACGAAAGCCGGGGACACGAAAGGTAGGCGTACGACCGGCGTAGGCGTGGGTGTGAAGAGAGAAAGAGAGAGAAGAGAGCTTTCTAAACACTATATCGATTTCGGCAGCGAGATGCGGTTACTCGTCGTTCGTAGCTAAACATGAATGGTGGGTGTACGATTGCCCTATGTGTGAAACTAAATTCCTCAGTGTCGTAGAATGTCGCGTGGAAGTCCAGATGAATCTGAGGAGATTACTCTTTCTTACTGTGTCTGACCGTGTTTGACCGGTGGATGTGCTATTTGCGATAGTAGAATTTGTAGTTGAACTCATTGAATGAATCAAATGCTGTGTTCAAAGCGCATTTAGATCCAAAACAATGAATTAAATTATTCACATATGAATATAAATAATATTTACTACAGTCAAACAATAAATAAATTTAAGATAATTTTGAAAGACTCAGAAATAAGAAAGAAAGTAACAATATGTTATATCATATATAAAAATTTTATTATTTTTTTATATGAATTTAAGATTAGTCTTTGCAATGAAATGTTCCACCAATTAAACACGATTAATGAGAATAAATGTTTATTATAATAAGCGTTTTCCTTCTCTTTTACTCATTTAAGACTTTGACATTTTAATTCAACATTAATAGTATAAATAAAGAATTATAGTGTGTTTATCTATATAAAATTAAGTGTTATCAATTAAATATTTCTTGGAGATTGCAAAAAAATGCATACACTTTTTTTCAGGACTGACGAGAAAGAAAAACAGAATCAATAGCATGATATTTTTCCGTGATCGACTCACCGAAGCGATATATGTATGTGTTCAAAACTAATTCCAGTTATATCAACAATAAACAAAATGGGACACTAGATGCATCTATGTATACTTCCTTTTTCAGAGAAATCGTGCTTTTCACAATTTGTGTAAGTAGTTCCATTACGAATTTAAAAAAAGGAGTCATTATTTTCTGTATGATGCAAATCGAAATAAGAAAAATTTTGTAACGTCCTGTGAAAATTTCTCATCAATTTAACGGGATAATTTCACCAATAATCATTGAATGTAAAATACAAAATGAAAAACTATTGAAACACTAAATGTATACACTCGTATTTTGCCCGTGTGTAAAAAATAGTATGTTTTCCAAACTAAATATTTCCGTCACAAAATTGGTAACAAAATTCCGCACAGGACCGCAAGGGGATCCGCATGGAAAATTCATGCACTTGCTTCAAAACATACGAAGAGTATCGAAAGGAGAGCCAACGCCTTTATGTCGCTTCGCGAGTTTTATCGACTGACGAATTTATCCGCGGACGTATTCACAAGCTAAGGATTCTTCTGTAGATAATTTTATAAGAGACAAAATATATCGAAGCATTTTTTTTAGCAAAGAATCGAAAATATCGAGATATTTAGCCTCTCTCTTGTATATGATACGTTTCCGTATGGTTTATTTTCGTATCCATGTTTGCAGAATAACGATGATGTCTTTGTCACTGAATCGAACAAAACTTTGCAAGATCAGCCAGTCAGAAAATCACCGAGGATGTATGACACTTGTTTCCGCAGAAACTCGGACGCAGAAGCGCGAGATGAGCCAACGCCTCTTATCTAGTCTCGTAATCGTTATCGACTCGCAGAGTTGGTACCTGAGACAAGTTCTTAAGTGAAGATTCTTCCAAAACGAAAATGTCAGCGAAGAAAGATTAAAGTATATATCACAGCGGTATCCGGTTTTCCACTTTGAGGGTGGAGGCTGCTCGGGGCCGCCGCGGCAACGCCTCTTCTGACACAAACGTCAAACGGTAAGTAGGAGAATTAAGTAACGTAGATACGCAGAAAAAATAGAGAGCGGGCCACGATTAGAGATATACGTCGTTCCTCATCGCCGCTCCTTGATCGCGAAGCGGTCACGGGAAGACGCGAAAAGCGGAAGCGGGAGCGCGGACGGAGAGGTGCGACTCCGCCTAGTCGCGCGCGCGAGAGGCACCTCACCCTGGGTAAACACACTGCGGGATGCACCACTACTACCACCACCACCACCACCGCCACCACCACCAATACTACCACCACTATTACTAACGGCACCGGTGTGTGTACGATCAACGCCCCGCGCCACCCACCGTCTCCTCGCCGACGAGAAGATAGACGTCTCTTCTGTGTTTTCTGGCTTCCCGGCCTTGTGTACTTCCGCTCAGTTTCTTGGCGTCTCTAATCGTATTTTTATCTATATCTCTCTCTATCTTTTTATTGCATCTTTACCCTTCGACCACTTTGCCCATCCGCGTGACGATGACTCACACTCACCGACACGGCGACGCTTTCTCCTCAGCTTCCTGGCATTCTGGGTAAAATATACCGGCGCTTCGGTCAGGCGTTTCTCCCAACAGCAAACGCGCACTCTCCGCCGTGTAAGCTTGGCCTGGATATCACGAACGCGAGTCTTCGCGACGACACCACCGCGACGGAAAAAGATAGACGGAGAACAGTCGGAGGGATGCTGGAAGCGCCGCGCGCGACAGTCAGAGAGGAGACCGTGGGCGGCGGCGGTGACGACGACGACGGGGTACGGGGGCGGCAGGGCTGAAGTTACGTGGCCTCCGCGTTAGCTTGCGGGGAGGGAAAGATGGTTTCTCGAGAGAAACAAGGAATGAAGCACGATATCCATCTTATTCTCAGAGAGACAGATAGAGAGAGAAGAGGGTGAGATTCTCGTGAGACCCACCGAAATAAGACGCCGACGAAATATCGCCGAGAAACTATCCGGGTGCCGCTTTCGACGGCACCCTTGTCGCTTATTGACGTCGCTGTTGTCGCTGCTATTGCCACCGCTTCGCCGTCCGCTGCTCGTCGCTGTCTCTCCCTCTTTTTTTTTTCTCTTTCTCTTTCTATCCGCCCCTGTAGCTGGGCGACGGTCGTCGCCTCGCTGTGCGATCACGCTTCCGGTATTTCGCGGGAAATCCTCGCGGACGACGTAGCCATGGATACTGCAGGATCCGACAGGGAGAGGCGACTGCCCCGTCGCGCGCGCATCCCGTGCCCCTTCCTCCTGTCTCCACCGCGATGCGCGCCCCACGACCGAAAATGTCAATATCCTCTCTTGCGCGCTGCGCCCGCGATGCGCCCTCTCACCCCCTCGTATACCCATCCCTGCCGTACCGGTGCGCCCCCTTATATACGTACTTTCCATGTACCGTTCCCGTTTTCCATTCTCTCGTTTTCCGCTAACCCCTTTCGACACTCCCGCGATCCTTTCTCTTCGTACTCTGTTTCCCTGTAGCGATCCTAGTCGCTTTCCCTCTTTTTCTCTTTTCACTCGCGCCACCATACCTTATCAACTTTAGGGGCGAACTTATGATCGTTGGAGGCCCCGCGTATTATCGAATATAAAAGAAACTTTGATTAGTAACAAAAAATTAATTGATGACGAGAAAATATTTCGTTACATATTGACTTTCATTACTAGAGATAGACGTTGATTCGTGCAGATTTATTTTACAAAGATTGCTGCTTCAACTTCCGGCTGCGTATTCTAATAATCTCTAATAATAAAAAGCTCACAACTTTTTGCACTGCCACCTTAACCGCTCATTCTGTTTTTCTTTGTTATCTAATTTTGCAACCTTCTCAGTCCTTTCTCCTCTAGATAAGCGCAGATCGTGACAAGAGGGTGATTTCTCTTAAAGATTTATTCTTTTCCACCCCTTTTCTCGTTCTTTCTGTACATTAGATTCTCTCACCTCGTAGCAAATGCACATGATTCTTTCAATCAATTCTGTTTTTCACTTACCGTGGACATGTGCAGGGCGATCGACATTCTCATCGTCACCATCGTCGTCGTCGGCATTGTTGTCGCCGTCATCGTTGCGCCAAGACGTAACCATAGAAATTAGTGATCGATGTCGAGCAGGCGCGTTTATTCGGAGAGACTCTGCGATTCCCGCGATTTTATCATTTCGATGTTTAATACATTAATCTAACCCATCTGCGTTGCTTCAGTGCGTGATGAATATGATTCCAGAAGCACATTTCCTAATACAATAAATAAAGATACAAAAAGGTAGAATTAAATCAATATTAAAAAACAAAACGCATCATTATAATATATATATA